ATCTTGAAGTTACAAATTATAAAATTAAATTTATCAATTTCAAATAAGTTACAAATTATCAAAATTTAAAATTATAAAACTGTAAACTAAAGAGAGGCAAGGTAATTTCAGTCTCTTTTTATATCTAAATCTAATGATCTTCATTACTGTGCCATTGCTGTGCCTTACTGTGCACTATTATTATTGGTTACTATTGTTTACTAAATATATTTGTTACTATATGTTAATAATTAATGTTAAATAATATTAAGTGATAATAATTAATGTTATGAATAGATAGTTATGTTTGTGTAACTAAATATCATGTGAATACGTAATCTTATACTACTATTTCACGACTAATTAATGTGTGTTACAAACTATAAATATTTACTAAAAGAAATTATTAAATTGTCATTATTTGTTATATGAACTAATATTAAATTCTAAATATTATTTTAAAGATTATTATAAATTATTACAGGTGTTTTTAATATTATTTTATCATTATATTTTCATTCTGTAATACTGTTTCTATATTTCTACTTCTATATATTGCTCACTTTTTCCACTTCTATATTAACTCACTTTTCTCACTTTTTCGCTTCTATATTATCCACTTTTCTCACTTCTATATTAACCCACTTTTCCCACTTTTCTGCTTCTAATTTATTCACTTTTCCCGTCTCTATATTACCTACTTTTTTATTATTATTCACTTCTATATTACCCACTTCTCTATTATTACCTACTTCAATATTACCACTTTTCCCATTTCTATATTATCCACTTCTCCTGATTCTATATTACCCACCTCTCACATTTCTATATTATCCACTTCTCTCATTTCTATATTGTCCACTTTTCCTACTTCTATACTACACACTTTTTCACTTCTATTATCTACTTTTCCCATTTCTATATTATCCACTTTTCCCATTTCTATATTACACAGGTCAAAAATTGATAAATAATACACATATCAGATATCTGATATGTATATTATTTATCAATTTTTGACCAGTGTTACCTACTTCTCTATTATTACTCACTTTTCCTATTTCTATATTACCCACTTCTCTATTATTACCCACTTTTCCTGTTTCTATATTACCTACTTCTCTATTATTATCTACTTCTATATTATCCACCTCTACTATTTCTATATTACCCACTTCTATATATTATACTTTTTCCATTTCTATATTATACACTTTTTCACTTCCATTATCCACTTTTCCTGTTTCTATATTACTCACTTCTCTATTATTGTTCACTTCTATATTATTCACTTTTTTTATTTCTATTACCTACTTTTTCCGTTTCTATATTATCTACTTCTCTATTATTACTCACTTCTATGTTATCCACTTTTCCCACTTCTATTATTGACTTTTTCCATTTCTATATTACTCATCTCTCCCATTTCTATATTATCCATTTCTCCTGTTTCTATATTACTCACTTCTATATATTATACTTTTTCTGTTTCTATACTCTATACTTTTCCACTTTTATTATTTACTTTCTTATTTCTATATTACTCACTTCTTTATTATTATCTACTTCTATATTATCCACTTTTCCTGTCTCTATATTACCTACTTCTCTATTATTACCTAATTCTATATTACCCACTTTTTCCTATTTCTATATTAACTCACTTCTTTACTATTTATTCACTTCTTCTATTTCTATATTACTCACCTCTCCTGTTTCTATATTACCCACTTCTCCCATTTCTATATTAATACACTTTTCCACTTCTATATTATTCACTTTTTCTACTTCTATATTAATCTACTTTTTCCACTTTTTCACTTCTATTTTATCTACTTTTCCTATCTTTATATTATCCACTTCTCTATTATTACCTGCTTCTATATTACTCATTTCTCTATTATTACCCACTTCAATATTATCACTTTTTCCATTTCTATATTATCCATTTCTTCCGATTCTATACTACCCACCTCTCCCGTTTCTATATTACTCACTTCTCCCATTTCGATATTATCCATTTCTCTTATCTATACTACACATTTTTCCACTTCTATTACTCACTTTTTCCATTTCTATATTACCACTTCTATATTATCTATTTTTTCACTTCTATATTATCCACTTTTCCTACTTCTATATTATCCACTTTTTCCATTTCTATATTAACTCACTTTTTCTATTTCTATATTACCTACTTCTCTATTATTACCTACTTTTATATTATCTAATTCTCTATTATTACCTATTTTTTCCATTTCTATACTATTATTCACTTCTTTCATTTCTATACTATTATCTAATTTTCACTTTTCACGACATTCCTGATCATAATTCTGAGAAAGAAAATAAGTGCTTTCTTATTTTATTTAAGAATAAGTAAGAGAAGAGGTAAGTAAGTTGTTTTTATTTTTTTTAAAAAAAATATTAAAAAAAAATTAATATAAATATACTTACCCATTTTTACAAATCTAACATGCTGTGAGAATGACATTCCCAATCTCAATTCTGAAAAAGAAGGAAGTATTTTCTTATTTTATTTAAGAGTAAGTAAAAGAAAAAATAAGTTGTTTTTATTTTTAAAAAAAAAAAAATATTAAAAATTAATAATAAATATACTTACCTATTTTCATGAATCTAATATGTCATGGAAATGACATTCTTCAATTTCAACTTTAAGAAAAAAGATAAATGTTTTTTCATATTACTTAGGAGCAAGTAAGGAAAGAGTAATTAAGTTATTTTTTTTAAAAAAAAAATATTAAAAATTAATAATAAATATACTTATCCATTTTTGCGAATCTAACATATCATAGGAACAACATTTCTCAATCTCAACTCTAAGAAAGAAGATAAGTGTTTTCTCATATTACTTAGGAGTAAGTAAGGAAAGAGTAATTAAGTTATTTTTTAAAAAAAAAAAATATTAAAAATTAATAATAAATATACTTACCCATTTTCGTGAATTTAATATGCTGTGGGAATAACATTCCTCGATTTCAACTCTGAGAAAGAAGGTAAGTGTTTTCTCATATTACTTAGGAGTAAGTAAAGAAAGAGTAATTAAGTTATTTTTTTTTAAAAAAAAAGAAAAATATCAATAATTTTGTGATTCATAAATGATTAAATATTAAATTATCAAAATATTATTTTAAGATGATAAGTTACACCATAGTCTATAATCTTTTTTTTGTACTTATTCAAATTGTTAAATTTTAAAAATTTCAAATATTAAAATTTTACTTTTATTATATTTCTTTAAATTGTTTTTATTCATTATTTTTGATTAATTTATTCTTTTTTTTCAATTATGACACCATTGAGATCAAAGAAATTATCAAGTAAACAAAGAAAAATCAGACGACGACAACAACAGCAAGAGTAACAACAATAGCAAGAATAACAATAACAGCAAGAATAATAACAAAATGAACATGATTTAATTTTTAATGAAAAACAAGTATGTAATTATTTAAATTATTATCTTAACATAATATTTTAATTTTTATATTTAATTTTTATTATTAGCATTATCTCCAAGGTATTTTAATAAGGGTAATTACAGATGAGATTAAATATTATATGAGAAATTTATAGAAAAGTATTTCTCTTAGTCCTTCTGATAAGATATCAACTAAAACTCAAAATAAAATATCTTTGAATATTTTATTAGCTAAAGTTTTAGCAAGGGAATACTCAAAGAATTATTTCCTTGAGTTATCTAAAATTTCTTTAAATTATCTCAATTTAATAATATCAAATATAATCCTTGGAAATAATATTGATTGGAATAATGGAATATGGAATGATTTTAAATCATGAATTAGTCTAAGAAACCAAGTGAAAAAACAAATAGAAAGTAAAAAACAATTTCAAAGAGTTTTAAAAAAGAAATAAAAAAAACTTCTTAGAGATGATTTTTTTAAAATTGAGAATTCTCTGACTAATTCTAAAAAAGATGAAATGATTAAATTAGCAAGAAAAAAAAATAAATTAGCAAAAGGTGCTTATTTTTTTGTTAATTCAGGATGTATAATGAATTAAAATAATAAAACTTTGATTCACTTAGAAAATATAAACAATCAAAATACCTTGTTACAAGCTATAACAGCTGTAAATGAATACTATTTTCATTTAATCGGTAAAGGTGATAAAGATAACAAAAGTCAATTATATCAAAGCAAAGATTTTTGATCAAAATTTATTAAATATTTTAATGCTTTTAGAAGATTTAAATCGTTTTTATATATAACTACCAGTACTGCCAGTAGTCATAGTACAGCTCACCAAATATATGTTGATAATTTGCTTCATAATCTTGTACCTTTATCAAAATATGTCAACAAATTTATACAAAACAATTATGAAAATATGTATTCGATGTTGATAAATCTTTCCTGGGGTCCTTTTGCTTCAAAACTTTTTGAATTTTTTTTAATAATTGCAATTAATTTTAATACCATTAGTGATTATCATTGGAATGAACTTGATGCATCAAATTGTTTGTATTACCTAGTACCATTAGGTAATGACTTTCAAGGTGGTGAATTTTATTTTTCTCAGCTTCATATCCTTGTACTACTTCGACCTGATCAATAGTATTAGAAATCACGAATACAAAATTGTGATTAATTGACTATCAACTATATAGTGAGTACAAATGTTAATGGACGATTAATTACGATTAATTGACGATTATAAAAATTGTGATTAATTATAAATAATCGTGATTAATTGTTGTATTTTTTTTTATAACATCAGTAATTATATTAATTCAAAAACCTTCAAAATTATATCGCAACGTTAGATTTCGAAGGTTATCAATTGTGTCGCAACCCTTCAAAATCGAAAATTAATGGTTAAATTTTGATATGTATTATTTCATTATCGAAAACCTTCGAAGTTCAATACTAAATTTTTTAATGATAACGTAAACTTTCGAAATTCAACAGCTAGTATTTTAACGTATTTTGTTTCAGGTTTATCGTTTTCGGATTACTT